CTGGCTGCCGGGTCTAGGGGTCTAGGACGCTAGTCACAGGCGACCATCTGGGAGTCCAGTGCCTTAAACACCACACCACCTGCTGGCTCCCATTTTCTCCTTTATAAATAGAAGGAAGAAAGATATTATTTTAACCATTTCAGCTCTTAGTTATAAATGTCAAAAGGAAGTTTTTGTTTATAACACTGCTTTTGCTTTTAAAACTGACTTTTAAAATAAGTTTATTTTTTTATTTTTTATTTATTCAGTGAAAGAAAGAGGGACACAGAGAAACAGGCACCCCCAGGAAGGCTCTCATGCCGTAATTCATGCCTGGTCTCAGCCAGCCTGGCTCAGAGCAGGTGGCAGGGCACAGGTGGCCCTGGGACATAGACCCAGTACCTTTCCCGTGCAGGAGCACTTCCGATACCTCAGCGCCACCGTCTGACCCAATTTTAAAACGCTATGCCTTTCTGAATCTGCCCCTCTAGGTAAGGTACTGGTTAAAATTTATAAAGACAAAGCTTTATTCCAGTCCGATTAAAGTAATTAGTTGGGTAGCCTAATACAGAAAATTTGTTTTACACCATCAGACAGGCTTCAAAACTCACACCTTAAAGAAAACACCTGTTCTGTTATGGCACAGTGCAGGTGGAGTTTAAGGCAATATTTGAAGCATGGTGTTCATGCTCTCAGCTATATATAAAAATATATTGTGGGGCCAGCGGATGGTGTAGCAGTTGCATCACTGGACTCCTACATGGTCGACAGCGGTTTGAGGCCCGGACTCAGTGGCTTGAAAATCACAGTGGACATACGTGCATGCATGCCCAAGATTCCCAGAGGAGAATGGAGGAGAAGCGATTGTGGAGTGACTGTATGCCCTTGGGGGGGGGGGATTTCTCAATTTCCTTCTCACTGTTTCAGTCTCGCCATAGGCAAAAACTTCTACCAAAGGGGGAAAAAAGTTCCAAGGCTTTAATTTCCATGGCTCTAGCTTGATTCCTCACCCATGTTTTTCTCATATTATGATGAACTTTATGTCCAGAAGGAAAGAAACAGATGCTCCGGGCAGCGTAAGTAACAGGGAGGGTTAAGCAGACCCAAAGGCGGTGGGTGGGGGTTCCATGATGACTCTGTTCCATAAACGTTACCTGAAAATGTAAGAAATAGAAGTTGGACCGCAGAAACAATGGAGCTAGTGACTGACCTTATAAAACTTCACAGAGAGGAGCAAATGGGACCAGTGTGACACTTCATGCCCAAGACAAGAAGGAAGTTGATTCCCTAGGCTGTAAGCAGGAAGTCTTCACTTCAGAAATAAACTAGATTTAAGATGGCACTTCATTTTATTTTTTTCAATTTTAGAGAGAGGTTCTTGATATCGGGTGTGTTCACTCGCCACAGAGCAAGCGAGGAATCATCCTCTGGGGACTTGGCCACACTGCAAGCCCTTCTCCTCCATTTTTCTCTCTGAATCTTGGACATATACACACACGTGCCCGGCATGAGTTCTAAGCCTCCAGGCCTGGGACTCGAACTATGGTTAAGTACATGGGAGTCCAGTCACTACCCCTTACACTATCTGCTGGTCCTGACATTTCTTTTCTTATATTTGGTTTTATGTAACTTTCTAATTCCCAAGGATGTTGTTCTAACCCTTTTGTATCATTTGTAAATTCAGCACTCATGAGTACAAACCAGTTACGTCATTGTCGTTTTTAGATGTGAACAAGCCCGGAAGACTGGAGCACTGCGGACTAGCCATGGTGGCTGAGCAGCAGCAGCCCTCTCAGGGGCTAAGGCCACGTGAGAGGGCCCAGGTCCACGGACAGAGGTCTCTGCGCTCCCCAGACTGCGCATGCTCGCAGAGATCCTGGCCGCCCAGATTTGGAGGTGAGGTCGCCCCAGATTGCACATGCTCTCCCAAGATCCTGGCCGTCTGGATTTGGAGGTGAGGTCGTGAGGTCGCCCGTGGAATGACCCAGTTGGGAGTCTCTCTGTCTTGAAATAAATTTAAATAAATTGTTTGGAGAATTAAACCAGATAATACATGAAGAACGGCCAACGCATCCTCACTAGAGGAGGCACTAAGAGCGACCATATTACAGTACAACGGTGTGATTCAGAGCGGCCGATTACTGATGCCCGTGACCTGCCATCGGCCCCCGCACTGCACCGCGCACACCTGCGGGTTCCCCACGCTCTGGCGCCGCGGGCAGGAGGCAATAGCCGTCCGGGCCTCTTAGAGGGCTGTGAAAGATGTGCCTCGGCCTCCCTCCGCACCACAAACCTGCCTTTCTGCTCACTTCTCTCAGGAGAAACTGCCATCCACCTGCGGAGTTCCCTCAGCTGTCCAGTTCTGACTGTACAGAGCTTTTCTGGGTGACTGTTTTCTCTCCTTTGTGCTGAGACAGGTGTGAATTTCGTGCATTTCCATCATCATGTCCATTATCTGTGGTTAACTGGATCCGTCAGCCACAAGGACGGAGTCCCCCCTTCCGGCAGTCCCTGCATTTCGGTGCGAGGCCCAGTGACTTGAGGCTTCCTTCCCTGCACTTGGGTCTTCCCGCCCACGCACCCCAGGCCTTTATCTCCCTCTGCCCTACAGAGAGAGCGAGAACTGACTTCCCTGGGCCGGTTTTGACCGTAGCACTCTCCGTGCAGTAAGGGGTGGAGGGCAGAGTTTCTGGAGTCCTCACTTTTAAGATCATCTCCAGGATCCTGAGAGATGGCTAAGCAGTACATTCACCTGGGCACAGACTCATACCCAGAAATCACGCCCGATATGTGAGCTCAAAAACCCAAGAGGAGAATGGAGGAGAAGGGATTCAGTATGGCCATTCCCCTGGGGTTGATTTCTCACATTCTCTCCCTCTCTCTGTCTCTCTCTGTCTCTGTCTTTATCTGGCAAGCACATGTGCTCTATAGAAAAAAGACAAATCTTTAAACAGAAGATCTGGTAGGAGCGTTGTGTCATTCTGAGGTTCCCTTGGGCACGTTCTCTTCCTGTTAGCACATGCTGAAGGGGACACTGACCCACACAGGTCAAGGAACCCGAGAGCCCTGTCCTCCCTGCTGATCTCACGAAAAGTCAGGCTGAGTACAGAAGAGCAGACCAGATCTCTGACCAAAATGGGGGTGGGTGCTCGCACTCCTCCTGCTCTGCAGCTCCTTGAGCGGGAGTCCAGCTGCACGGTACGTTTGCACACCGCATGGATTGTACCTGGAGACTTTTTTTAAAAAAAGATTTTTGCCACCAGGCACGTGCACGTGTTGGAGAGAGATAGGGAAGAAGTAAGAAGGGAAGTGAGAAATCACCTCCCAGAAGGGAAGGCCACACCACAGTTCCATCTCCTCCAGTCTCCTCTTGGGATTTTGGGCACCTACGCACACGCACCTGGCGTGATTTTCAAGCCACTGGGTCCAGGACTCAAACCTCAGTCAGTCATGTGGGAATCTGGCACCTTAACCACCACACTGCCTGCTAGCCCTGCACTTGGGGACTTCTGGCGCATGCTCAGAGCCTCTTCCATTGTATCGGGAACCTTCAGCTTTGCCCGTGCCTTCTGCTTCCGTCTCAGTGTGCACATGGTGCCCATCGCCGCCTGAGGGTGGTACTGCCCTGGCCTCTCGCAGTCTCCACCCTGGAACTACGAGGAAGCACGGCTGGAAGGGCGGAGTCGACCCATGTCCCTGCAGGGTCTTTCTGGTGGCCGGGTCTTTTCCTTGGTATCAGATGGCTGCAGGCAGATCTGGGACTTAGCTCATGGGAGGTCGAGAAACTGATGGCTGCTTGGCTTGGGTTTGGTGGAGTTTGGGTTCCTATGTCCATGTAGTGTGGGTGTATCACTCTAGACACACACATGTGTGTGTGTGATTTACATGCACACTGTGTGTAGCTAAGTTAGTGCCAACCAGACTCTGTAGGAATGTTCTCATCTGTTGACCCAGTGGATGGTGACACATTGAGTTCCCGTCTGTCCCTGTGATCTCGCCCCATGACCTTGAGGAACAGAAAGACCTGAGCAGGGGAGAAGGAGCGGGGTTTACAGTGCACAGAGCCCGATTCAGACATCTGCATAAAGGCTAGCGCTTACAGAAGAGAGACACCTCGTACGGATTGTCCATATTCGATCATCCTAAACATTTACGTGGCCTGACCAGTAAAAAGTTATGAATCCGAAGTAAAAAGAGAGATGTCACGCCCCATCATGCTGGAGAAATGGGTGGATTCTCTTTTTATTCTGTTTGTACAAATATCACAATGTTACATGTTGAAGCTATAATCAAAGACTATGAAGACTAAACAAACAAAAATCGTACTAGTAGAAATATTTCAAATATTCAATTAGCAAAATTTATAATAATTTTATGATTTTTTTTAATTAGCCATGAGGCAGGAGAAAGCTAGAACATGGAAGCAGGTCAGGAGGCTGGAGCACCTGCCAACGTGACTAGATGCAAAAGCTGATCAGGGCAGAAACTTCCCAGCCCAAGGCAAGGCCATGTAGGCAGATTTCCACGAGGTGTCTAGCTGAGTCAGCCACACTGGACAGACCCAGGGAGAGGAGAGCCCTCCATGGGCCCAGTGAGTGATGGACCGACCTGGATTACAAGTTAAAGACCTCGGAGGCCTCCGAGCCCCTCTCTGTCCACGCAGGCCCACCCCTCCCTCTCAGGAGTGTACTTTTCCTACTTTTACTAAATGCACACCTTTTCCTTTCTCTCCTTTCTCTGTGTGCATGTTTCATTCTTTGTCCAAATCTCCCAGGACCTAGATATTACCACGGAAGCCATTCTGCAACCATAGTATTAACTGTTTATAGGTTTAATGTGGCTTCTTTTCTCCAGACAACTAACTGGCTTCCCTGACTTCACACATTGTCTATTGAAGGGCGGACTCTGATGATCTGCTCGCCTGGGAAGCGTGAAGAACACCATGCACGGCTGTTCTCTCTGCCTAGCGGAGACTTCGTCCCCTCCGACCAGCGTCTGCCTAATCCCCATCTCTCGCCCTCCCGCCCTGTTCATCATCATTCCACTTACTGTTTCTACAGTTTTTTAGGCTCCACATACAATGAGGTCATGCAGCTTTGCCTTTCTGTGCCTGACTTACTTTCCTCAGCAAAATGTTTTAAGTCTCCTTTGTTGTTGCTGTCCACTTTGATTGTTTGAAGACGGGCTCTCTCTTTGCCCAGGCTCCTGCCTCAGCCTACCTGCTGGGACCTCACTGCATTCCACTTTGCCCAACCCTTATTTGTGTAGACAAAGTCTAGCTATATGGCTCAGGCTGGCCTCAAACTCGCGATCCTCCTGCCTCACCCTCTGGAGTGCCACACAGCCTTTTGGTGGGATGGGGAATCGAGCCCAGGCCTCCCGAGCGGTGTGGTCCCGGCCTGTGACGTGCAGGGTTTAGCAGCACTCCCACCGTGACCTGGCCAGTGTCTCTGTAAGACAGAGCAATGTTCCATCCTGTGTATTCGTAGACACGGTTTCTCCTCCCCCCACCCTCCGACAGATGCAGGTTGATTCCACGTGCCCGGCCAGGTAAGCGGTCATGGGCAGGAGAGTTCAGCTGGTCGCAGTAGGTGGGCCCCGGGGCGGGCCTGGAGCCCGGGCTGCAGGGGGGCGTTGGAGCTGAGCTGCTCCAGCGTGACTGCGCAGGTGCTCCTGCCCTCAGTCTTAGGGTGCAGCGCAGGAGTCTGGGGCCTCAGGGGCCTCCGTCCTGGTGATGGGCCAGAATCCCGGGGTGCCAGAGCCAGCCTGGGGCGGGGCGGATCTGGAGCCTGGGGCCAGTGGCTCGGCCTGGCGGAGGGTCTAGAGCCGGATGCTGTGGGACAGGCCTGGAGCTGGGTTCAGCCTGGCTACTGAGCTACAGGGATGGCCTGGAATGGGGGCCTTGGGGCCCTCATGGTGCCGCACTGCACGAGGACGGCAAGTGTGGGGTCCAGGGCGGGTCCGCTCACCTCTCCCCTTCGCCAGGTGATGGCCCTCTGTCCGCTGCGTGCTGGGACTGAGCCCGGGGAAGGCTGGCTGGGCAACCTACCCTCAGGTCCTCCCCGCCGGCGTCCTTCTCTCTGGGCTCCCTCGGCTGTTCTGAGAGTATTTTCCCACGTGCATGTTTGTTCTGATTGATGTTTCTGCAAGGGAGTAAGTGCTGAAAAGTCTGATTCTTCAGCACACAAATACTATGTTTAAGCACAATTTACTAGATACCTCGGAGTACCTAAAAGGATTTTGAAAGTCCCCAACTGAGTGTAATGACAAGCGGCTGAGATGAAGAATGTGCCCATCGCTCTGATTTAATCAACCGTGTTTTAAAAATATACGCATATATATGATTATTCTTTGTTGCGTGGCAGAAAGAGACAAAGGACCTTCCCTGGGGGGGAGGGGCCCTCCTGCCATCACGTGTCGGGCCTGGCTGCTCAGGGGGCTCTGGGACACCGCCCAGGGGGCCTTTCCAAGTGGGATTTTTGTTACTGCGGCACCTCTGCCTGGACCCAGTATTCGATGATTATTTTTTTTTTTTAGGTTTTGGCCATAGGATGAGTGCCCTCACCAGAGAGAAGCAGAGAGAGGGAAAGTGAGAAATCCCTCCCCAAGGGTGTGGTCATGCTGCAACACCTTCTCCTCGGTTCTCCCCTGCAGGTTTTGGAAACACATGCTCATGTGCCCAGCATGATTTTCAAGCCCCTGGGTCCAGCATTCAGACCGTACAGCGCCATGTGGGAGTCCGGTGCCTTCATCACCACGCCACCTGCTGGCATCCCCAATATTTACTTTTTTTGTTTTTTGAGGTTTTCGCTTTAGGGGGCGTGAGCTCACCAGACAGACAGAGAGAGACATAGAGACAGAAAGCGAGAAATCACCCCACAGGGGAGATGGTCACGCCGCAATCCCTTCTCCTCCATTCTCCTCTCGGGATCTTGGGCACGCACACGCGCCTGGCTGAGTTTTAAGCCACCGGGTCCGGGACGCGAACCACGGTCGACTATGTGGGAGTCCAGCGACATAGCCATTACGCTAACTGCTGGTTCCCCCCAATATTTACATTTTTAAGCCTAATTTTATATTTGTAATTTTGTCTTTCTTCCCTGGTACCTACTTTGTATAAATTTCGGTTACCCCGACTGATGGCAGAGCATGCTAAGGATGGTCCTTCATCTCCTGCTTCAAGTGAGCTGAAAACACTGGAGTAAAAAGAGGAAGAAGGAAGACAGGTAGGAATTGTAGGAAACCCTCCAAGAATAATATCTCATGGAAAATTTTATTATGTATTAGATATGTCAGGGAACCACGTAACAAACTGAAAAAAGAAACAAGCAAAGATTCAGCCAGGTTGGCTTTAATCAAATTAGACTGGAAATCATAGTTTTATTTTCTTATTAATCTGCCCATCTTCTAAAACCAGTACTCCACAAAAATCAATGAATATTGTTTCTTTTTTGTGTTTTCCCCCTAATTGATAAATTACATTTCTTACCCTCAAACTATTTCTTTCTTATTATAATTGTTATGGATTTTTTAGTCTACTGAAGAGATTACCTAGTATAATAGAACATCAGACTTTTAAGAAATCTTGAGAATTTCGTCCAAACACTGTTCTAATCACTAAATCACTACAGAGTTTTCATCAAATGATTCACATAAATTTGAATGGTTTATTGATTTGACGGCATTGCTTCTCCATGCATCCCATTGACATCTGAGCCAGACATACTGAAAACATCTCCCTTGATTCAGGTTGAAGTTTTCCCTTTGATGTTTTCCATCTGTTCTTTATTTCTTAATTTATATATTTTGGTCTTTCCTTTAAAACCCCATAGTACCTTCCAGTCCTTGTTTCATGTGATGACCTGTCAAAAAATTTAGAATATTCATGATGTGACCTCTGAGTCTTCCTTAGGGTTCGGTAGGGCCTCCTGCCAATGAATTTCCCCCTTGCACTATTCCCAATAAGCAATCATATTTTCTTAGCTTCTTTATCCATCTGGCTATTTCCTGTTTATTGATGCTCCTTCTACATTACGGTACTCAGAGAACATAATATAATATTTTGGTATAATCTACTCAATAGAGTAGAGAAAGACCAGCCCTTCTCTGGTGGATGTTGTGTCTAGTTTTGTGACCAGAAACTACTACAACATCACATAAAAGTAACAATGGAAAAGAAAATGCCTAAATATTTTCCATGAACTTCCAAGATCCCTTGTGAGTTCTGTTCTTGCAGGGTTCTGACAGAGGACCACTCATGCATTCCTGCTAGCTGTAATCTGGTGAGAGACGCAGTTGGCAAGGAGCTGGGGA